GAATCAAAGATCAGACGGTCAGTCGGAAAGGACAGATCGGCAACAAGAAACTCTGACAACCAACCAACCAAGAATCTATTGTCCAGCAATTGCGCAGAAGGGTATGTAGGTAGATTGGACATACTTTCAGAAGTAATTCCATTATGGGTAAATTTTTATTTTGATAGAGTCTCACAGTGTTATACAGTAATATTTACTGATCTTATATCAATACTTTCAGAAGATTGGTGAGTGACATCATATGCCATGTAGGCCCTGGAGTGGGAATCGAATGAGAAACAAAGAGTTCTTTTTAATCTAAATGTACTATGAAGGAGACGATGTGGAAGGGAAACGAAAGCTTACAGGCAATTGTGGAGCCTGCTAGAAAAGACTCCAGGAAACAGAGTGGAGTGGTTATGTTCTGCTGATATATATATATATATATATATATATAGTTTAGATGGATGTTTTCTCCATGAAGTTGTGCTTTCTGAACTAGGTGGCTAAATTCTGAATCTCCTGTTGTCCTTCTAGACAATATTTTCAACGCTGACTTCAATGTGAAGTTAGATTTTAGAAATCCATTGGTAACATGCTCTAGTTGATCTACATTGAGTGTTTCCTGACTGTTAACAGTAAGGTGGATTTTAATCATCTAGAAATTAGGGTGGTTACAAACTAAGGTGGTATACATACGTCACAAAGTACATACTTCACGTGCAAAATTATTGTCATACCTGCTTGACAAAGGATTTATGCATCAAATGTGTTTCGAACCGATAGGTAAACAAATGTTCAAAAAACAACTTACTCTTCAACTACAGATCGTAGGGAATAATGAAAAGACAGCCGCAGCAAAGAAAATTTTCTTTTCGACGAAGTCACCGACAACTAGGCTGTACATTCGTGTATTTATAATAAATGGGTGGGAAAGTTCCAGAATAATTCCCGGTCGAGGGTCAAATTATTGAAACTACAATTAGGAATTAGAATGCCATAATAAACAGGGGGACGGGTAAACCTCAAACAAAGTAGCATCATAACTAAGAAGATTGACATTGTGCAATTGGGGGTTAGAAATGTAGAAATAACAAAAATAGACAGGATAGTTGGATAACAAAATCTAGTGGGATCATAACTAATGTGATGAATAATTGTTTATGCAATTAGGGATTAACTATATAGAAATAATAACATTAGGAAAAAGACAGGAAGTTTGGATATGAAAATATGGTAGTGTAAATAGGGATTAAGAAGAACTTAAAAATAACATGCTCTGGCATTGAAAGTCGACCCAGAGACAACAGCAGACTTGATGACGCCACTACTAGAGAAGGTGTGGAAAGAAGGCAAAGTACCCGAGGATTGGAAGAAAGGATACCTATTCAAACTACCAAAGAAAGGAGACTTAAGTCAATGCAAGAACTGGCGCGGAATTATGCTCCTTTCCATCCCAAGCAAAATACTAAGCCGCATCATCCTGGAAAGGATCAAACAAGCCTTGGATGAAAAACTTCGACCAGAACAAGCTGGATTCAGGAGTAACAAGTCATGTATTGATCAAATCGCCACACTACGGATCATCATTGAACAAAGTTTGGAATGGCAGACACCTCTCTATCTCAACTTCATCGACTTTGAAAAGGCCTTCGACAGCGTCGACCGAGAGGTGATTTGGCAACTACTTCGCTACTACGGGGTGCCGCCGACAATTATACATCTCATCCAACAGTTGTATGACAACGCTGCATGCCAAGTAATCCACAACGGGAAGCTCACGGAATCCTTCGAAGTGAAGACAGGAGTAAGACAGGGTTGCCTACTATCGCCAATGATTTTCCTGATTGCAGTAGACTGGATAATGCGACAAACAGCGGGCAATGAGGAAACAGGCATAAAATGGACTCACACAAAGAACTTGGAGGATCTGGACTTCGCCGATGATATATGCCTGATTTCCCACAAACTGGAAGATATGCAAGTGAAAAGTAACAAGTTGGCAGAAGAAGCATCAAAGATAGGACTCCAGGTGAACATAGATAAAACAGAGGTGATGAAGATCCCTGGCCAACACCAACAACAACAACAGACAGCAATCAGCATAAATGGAAAAAACCTGAAAGAAACTACCTCCTTCACCTACTTGGGAAGCATCGTTTCAACTACAGGCTGACGGAATTGACGAGGATATCAAAGCAAGGATCGGGAAATCAAGGCAAGCTTTCATTACTCTGAAGTCTGTGTGGAGGACAACATCATTCAGCGTCAAAAGTAAGATCGGGATTTTCAACTCCAATGTGAAGTCAGTACTACTATACGGATCAGAGACTTGGCGTGTCACAAAGAGCACCTCAAACAAGCTACAGACCTTCATTAACAGATGTCTTCGCTCAATACTCAAGATCAGATGGCCGGAAAGGATCAGCAACAAAGATCTCTGGGAGCGAACCAACCAGGAACCCATTGTGAAACAAATAGGCAGGAAAAAATGGAGATGGATTGGCCACACTCTGAGGAAACCAGCAAGTGACATCACTAGACAAGCCCTCGAGTGGAACCCGAAAGGGAAGCGGCGAGTTGGTCGTCCAAGGGTGACCTGGAGGAGATCATGTGAAGAGGAGATGAAAGCATGTGGGCAGACCTGGAGCCAGGTGAAAACTCTAGCAGAGAATCGAACGCAATGGAGACGCATGGCTGAAGCCCTATGTTCCTCTAGGAACTAAAGGAAATAATAATAATAATAATGATAATAAAAATAACATGAATAAACAGGAAGTTTGGATAAGAAGGGTAATGAGATAGTCACTGTTAGAAGAATTACCTGTTTATGATGGCCACGGCAAGGACAAGGTGTGACGTATTTCTTTTGGATACATAACGTGGGTTTGAGCTTTTGGATGGCTATTGCCTCAGCTATGTCCAGATGTCTCAATTTTACTCCCTTTGATAGGTTTGATCAAATCTTGTATATTAATTTGAAGGACTTTTCGAATGGCGCTGAATGTCCTGAATTGACCAAATGTTCTGTCACTGAGGTATATACACGTTTTCGTACCCCTTTTACTAACCATGCTGGATAGTGTTCACGAGTGCGTTTTTCAAGTTGGCACATGGTATGGCCGATATACTCAGCTCCGGAAATTATTCTGCAACTTTCCTATCTATTTATCATAAATACACAAATGTACAGCCTAGTTGATGATTTCGTCGAAAAGAAAATTTTTTTCACTGCAACTGTCTTTTTATTCCCTATGATCAAACTATAGATCGACGAAGTCACTTGAGGTCAAAAAATTTTCCCAAGGAAGTCATCATTTCTAGAAGATTAAAATTCATCTCAGTGATGAGATTCAGTAAACTCTCAGTGTAGATGGGGTAGGACGCCTCACTAATCGACTTCTAAGACCCAAAAACTTCTTCAGTTTGAAATCAGTTCGGAAGATGTTGTCCAGAAAGGCAATAGAAGATTCACAATTGAACCACCTAGTTCATTAAGTACAACCACATGAGGGAAAAAAACATGAACTGACAGAAGTTAGAATTCATGCATCGGCCATTGGATCGGGTCTATGAGCTCGCTAGCTCGCTAGGTCATGGGTTCAAATCCCAATGGATGAGTACTGCTTAGGAATCTCAGACTAGGATGAAACACCTGTCCAGTACTCCCAGGTGGTTTTCCAATGGTTCTCTAACTGACGTCAGCTCATGATGAAATCCTTCATCCAATCAAAAATAAACATCCACCTAGACTATAAATATTCTCTGTTAGCTAACATTACATCCAAGTATTCAATACGATATATCCTTAAAGATCTAGCAGGTATATAGATCAATGAGAAATATTCACTCAAAATACAGTTAAAAAAAGAATCAATAATTCAATAAACTATACAAATTAATCCTATATTGAAAAAATTAATCCACTAATTGATCAAGATTTTATTATTTTTGCAAATTATTGAATTATTCATTAAAAAGTCAAAGAAAGGAGAGAGAGAGAGAAAAAGAAAGTGAAGGCAAAGAACACATGAAATACTATTTACAAATATTAAGTAGTAGAAACCAGTTCTCCTCAAAAAACAATTTAAAAAGGGGTCAGTTGTCATAATTTGACCTCTTACTATTCTTCTGGTAAACATCAGTTTTATATATGTATATATATTAATGTGAAAGTATGAGAAGGGATGAAAATAGTAACTAAAGTTAAATACTAAAGTAAATACTGAGATATTATTGTTATTGAAAATAGGCGCAATATTTTGTTTAAATGCATCATATTCGAAGGTCAATCTTGTGTGTGTGTCTGAGTGCGCGCGCGCACGCACACACAGACAGAAAGAGGTAAATTACATCGTCGATAAAAACTACGAGATATAGATATATATATATAGCCAAAAAAGGAAAGGAAGACTAATGCCAATTAAGAAAGTTTTAGAAATGATGTAATTCGAAAAATAATAATAATAGTAATGACTAAAAAATTGCAAAAAAAGGAAAAACAAGTTTTACCAATATCACATGTTGAATATATATGTTTGTATATATCAAGAGCTATATAGGTGAAAAGGGATAAAATAAGTGGAGAAGACATGCCGTATGTATGTGGAGCCAGACAACACAGACAGACAGACAGTATCACTAATAGAATAATAGATCTCAGATCATCATCATCTTTTGAGGATCGGTCATAATTATAGAGGGGAAATGATTGCGAAAGACTTAATTGTTTGTTAACACATTAATAAATACATATCCTAGGTGAAAATTTAAAGTCGTTGATGAGAAGGTAACTGAGACTGAGAGAGATAGAACGAGGCAGAGTATACGTGTGTGTGTGTTTGTTTGTATGCAGGTGGGCTGGACACGAATAGAGGAGGGCATGACAACACGACAAGGCATAGTATTCAGAACTTACGCTTTACTGTTGCTACATTCCTCCCCCCCACCCCCGAATACTTTTATCTCCTCTTCTCATGTGTACATTATGCGTTTGTAACTGTGGTGCTTATGTATATATATTATGTTACTATTTCTGGTAGTTCAATTCTATTACCATCCTCAGTAAGAATAAGAGCATCGTGTTGTGCCAGTGTGGCTTTTGTTCGTCCATTTGCTGTGTTATTATGATGATTGGCTAAAGATTTACTTGACCTTGTACTTTTGACTTTATGTTTTAATTTCCGTTGATAATTGATCACTATTAAAATGCCTAAAGTAATAATAAATAATATAATCAATATAATGATAGCTGAAACAATCCATATTTTTTGTCTATGACTTGTTTTACTATTACCATATTTAGTAAGCACTAGAATCTCATTGGTCGATGTTGCATTTCTACGCGTTGACGTGGATTCATTGATGACAGGATTCCTCAACTGGATGCCTTGAAAATCCGCTTCATTTGAATGCAGGCTTACTGTCGTCGTCTGCATGTTAGTTACAATTTCAATAGTAGGTGTTTCTGGTTGACCAATTTTTGCTTTAGCTTGTTGTAAAGGTAAATTATTCCTGCATAACATATCATCAGAGCATATATCATGTATACAACTGTCAAGGGGTAAATGATTCAATGTGTCCAATGTTGAATGATGAACACTTGTTTTACTAACATTATGATTAATATTATTATTATTCCCTAGTGAAAATCTGGTAAATTTAACTAAATGCTGTCGTAACGGTGGTCCAGGCCGTATACGTATCACATTAACATTCGAATCTTGTAAGCATTTAATACAATAAAATTGTAATGGTACCCCTTCACAATCAACAAATCGAATAACAGAGATTGGTGGACCAAAAGTCAAGTATTCCGAATAATTAGCTTTACAATTCAGTGTGACTTCATATAGACTAGGTAGGCCTAAAAAACTACAACTATCCCATTGGATTAAACTTGTTCTTGCTAACAGATTTGTCAAGCTATCCATACCGGCTAGATTCAGTGCATTCATTTGATGACTGCTACTAAGGTGAATGTCAAATTGTAGTGTATCGATTAAATTATTGATAAATAAACTTGAAAATGCCCATGGTTGAATCAATAAATTCTTATCTGTTGTACTATTTAATGAATAGGAACCAATACGAATAAAATTATTGATCCGTTGACAGGATATTTCATCGGAATAATTCAATGTGGATGGAGATAATGAACAGTGCAGTAGGGTTTTTTCATCTGTTGTATTACTTTTGTGAGTAGTATTCGCAGAAGATGTTGTTGAATTTAGATAACAAAAACATTTCTCTGAATATGACGGATGAATAGATAGGCATGAAAAGGATAAAATATTGACTAAGAAGATAAGAATATCATTATTATTATTATAATCCCAAAATAACATAATTTTTGATAATTGATTCTTATGAACGTAGACATAAGCATAGGTATAGGCATGTGTATACCGCCTAAAAAGGCGGAATAATGAACACTTCTCGATTGCTTTAGGTGTTGTGGATTTTTTCTAAAACATTTTTAAGATGTGTGAATTAGTGGCTTCTGTAATAAGGTGCAAAATAATCCACACGACCGTCTAATCAAAGTAGATATTTATTTGATATTTTGGTTAAATAATTCGAGAAGGAAGAAGGAAGCATGATAATAAAACAAAATACATCTATCTATATATATGGCATTCACAATACGTGATTGGTAATTCCACAGTAAAGTGACGTCAAACAAATAAATCGTTAAACAATAATAATCAGACTATTTTTACTGTTTAACCAATCAGAATTCAGAGATTTTTTAACCAATAGAAAGTGAAGCTTTGACAGGCGTTTTGTTTTTATTCATTCTCTGTGTTGTGCGTACATCATCATCAACGAACAAGGAAATGATGCCCGGTGTTATTTTTTTTCTGAAATAAAACTGTCAATTTGACCTTAGTAGTTAATTAAAAAACCAAAAAAATCTAGAGAAAACACGCACTCAGACATTTTTGTTGAACAATGGAATAGGGGGTGAGAGAGAGAGAGGAGAAATTGAGGTCAAGAGGGAATAGAAGACTAATAGTAGTGGTCTATGTGCATAGAATGAAGAGTGGGACAATGGTAAATAATTTTTCACAAAAAAGAGACGTCATTTATTTCCAATTACTATTTGGTCAATTAGAATAAAACAATAGGTAGCAGTTTTCGAATTACAGTTACAGAAATATCCAGTGAAGAGGGTACTTCATGGAATGTGTAGATCTGGGAAAGTGATGTAAAATTAATAGGACTAATAGGATTAGTAGATAACATCTGTCCGGTGTTCTTCCGGTGAACCTAGAAGACCTGGATTTCGCAGATGATTTATGTTTGATGGCACACAAAATCGAAGACTTACAAGCGAAAACTGACAAACTGGTCGAAGAGGCTGGCAGCAAAGACAGGAATCCAGGTGAACATAGACAAGACGGAGGTTATGAAAATAACCAACAAACAAAAACAACAACAGAAACATCCAGCGCCAATCACCATCAACGGGAGGGATTTGAAAGAGGTTACTTCATTCACTTATCTAGGGAGCATTGTCTCAACTACAGGAGGAACGGACGAGGATGTCAAATCGAGCGAGAATCGGGAAGGCGAGAAGCACATTCATCTACCTGAAACCAATTTGGAAATCTTCGTCACTCAACTCAGCATCAACAACAAAATGATTCGGATTTTCAATCCAAACGTCAAGTCAGTTGTTCTTCTATACGGATCAGAAACTTGGCGGCGGGTCAAAAAGAATATTTCCAACAGCCTGTTGCAGACCTTTATCAACAACTGTCTTCGCTCTATACTGAAAATCAGATGGCCGGAAAGAATCACCAACAAGAAATTATGAGAACAAACAAAACAAAGAACCAATCGCTCAACAAATATGCAGGAGAAGTGGAGATGGATTGGACACTTGTTGAGGAGGCCGCTGGGTGACATTGCGCGTCAGGCCAGTGCTCGAGTGGAACCCGAAAGGGAAGCGGCGAGTGAGACGTACAAGGGTGACATGGAGGAGATCGTGTGAAGAAGAGTTGAAACAGTACGGACTAAAATGGATGCAAGTGAAAAATACAGCAGAAGACAGAAACAAGTGGAGACGTGCATTTGAAGCCCTATGTTCCACTAGGAACCCAAGGGAACAATAATGATAATAATCTGTCCGGTGTTTAGATCACTTCAATCAGGCTAGCAAATGCTGCTGGTTGAAGTGAGTGATACTGAACTACTTATATACTGATCCATTAGTATATGTCATCATCAGTTTGAACGTGGCTATTTTCAAAGGATAGTTATGGAGAATGACGCCTCCATAGTTTCCATGCGTCGCTTTGCAGGGATTTCTTTGACTTCAAAATAGATAGATCATGAATTAATAACATCTTTGAGAACTACCGATAGTTACAGAGTAGTGGATAGCTGTGTTGACCCACCTAAGAACTCTTCAGCCAGTAAGTACCAACCATCCCTTATAGGATTCAACCCGAGACCTTCAAACTTGATGACCATTCAGCCACTGGAACCAAATCCATTGACTTGTCAATACTAACTTCTACCAGTTTGCGATACATGGTGCAACTAACAGTCAAAGGGATTGAGCAGCAATATGATGCTTAGTAGCGGCTGGCCCTGTTCAGGTTGGTAGTTACCTGGATTCTAGTGAGAAGTAGCGAGCACTGGGGTACACAGCAGGTCAGATGTGAGGACAAATACTCGTCAACGACGGCGTTGGCTAGTGCCAGTTGTGAATTGGCAGCAGCTGGAATTCATGATCTGGCCACTGAGTCAGGTCCTAGTGTCTGAATGTTGTACGAGGTCTCCTTGTAACCAGGAGGGTCCTGGGTTCGAACCCTGGAGATGGATGCCTGTGTGTGTGAAGAGTCCTAAATTAGGACGAAACAGGTGTCTAGTAGTCCCTGTTGATTTTCCAATGGTTGTCTAACCGATTTGTATTTCTTCATGAATTTCCGTAACCAGTCAAATCCCAGCAAAACAACACTTAAGTCATCGCAGAGTATATGTTCTCACATCCAACTGTTTGGGCCTCATTGGTCACGACTTACCGGTAGAACCACAGACAACACCATCTTCGAATCGCTAATGGGCAGGCGTAAGATTAATTCTGAAATATTAGTTTGCACAGATTTGACATCAGTTAGGAAACAACTGTAAACCAGGGAGTATTGGACTGCTTGTGGTGAGAGCTGGTTGCTAGCCAAAGTTGGTAGACAGTAGTTGACGCCAGTGTTTATGTCCCAAATATTGGTGGTGAGAAAATGAGAACAAAGGCTTTGCGTAGACGGATACAGTTAGCATATGGATGATCTGACACAGCCACAAGAGATGCAAGGTTAACTTTCTGTTAGAAAAAACCAATGAAAAGACTGTATATTCTACTAACAATAATATACAATAATGTACATTAAAATCTATAAATACGTGTTGATTTTCCTTTATAAACGATCTGTTGCTTGGCCCTTGTCTTCTTCAGCATTTACGCACCTAAGACACCACCATGAATCTCATTTTCCAACAAACTGTAATGCGGTTTGGATGACATAACTGGGTTAAGAATCTTTCGCTGTTAGTACTGTTATAACCAGTTTTGTGTTTAAAAAAAGTACAGTGTCTACACTGAACACTTGTCATTAATACAGAAAAGTGGTGTCTGTCTACGTTTGCTGTATGCATTTAAATTAAGGCACTTGGCAACATCTACTAAATAAAGGTGTATTACAAAGCATTGGCTGTTTGAACTTAGTACACATAAACGAATAACTCAGTATGAAGAGCTTCACACTGAAGATCTAAATGTCCCCAGCTCAGTTCCAAGTTCTGGCAACTGTGTGCATATTTATGAGTCAGTAGGTCAATGGTAGAATGCTCATTAACCACACGACGGAAGGTTCCAGTTCGATTTCTGGTGGATGCATTCAAGAAAGTAGAGCAGGTTGGGTATGAGGCTAGCAACCTCACTGTTAGTGGAATTTCAAAAGTTTGAAGTTCTACACTCCGCTGGTAACGCAAAAGAAACCAAACATACCAAACATGCAGCAGTAGTTGTTTGTCATGTTTACAGTAACTTGCTAAACATAGATAACTTTACACAGCTTAGAAGGTAGCATTAGGTTACAGGAAGTTGAAGTTGTTTACACGATAAATGCAGTTGCTACTGTCTCTCCTGAACGATCTAATCGCAATTTGGATACTTACTTGGATGTTTCAACTAACTTTGTAATTTTTACGAGTTTGACCACGGATTGATATAGGTTAGAAAACCAGCACGGAGTACTGGACAGCTGTTTCATCCTGGTTTGGGAATCGTCCGCAATACGCACCCACCACCGGACCTCGAACTGAGGACCTTCCGGTTACAAGGCAAGCTCGTATAATATTCAGCCACTGGGACCTGATTCAGGGGCCCATCTCAAACTAGGATGAAAAAGCTGTCCAGTATTCCCTGGTTTACAATGGTTCTCTAATTGATATCAGTATCTGATCAACTCATAAAAACAAATCTAATCCTTACAAACTAATCATAGAAAATTAATCTGACGCCCTCTAGTAACTTGCTACAGGATGGAGTTTCCTGGAGTTCTAGTGAGAAGTCGTGACCAGTGAGGTCCAATTAGATGTCACGTGTGTGGATGGATGTCCCACCAACGACAATGGTTGGGGTCGCGCTAAATCACGAATCGGTAGAAGTTAGAATTCATGCATTGGCCATTGAATCGGGTCCCAGTGGCTGAATGGTATACGAGCCAGCTTGCCTTGTAACCGGAAGGTCTTGGATTCGAACGTGGTGGTGAGTGCGTACTGGCAATGACTCGCAAACTAGGGGGATGAAACAGCTGTCGAGTACTTTCTGCTGGTTTTCAATGGTTCTCCAACTGGCATCAGTCGGTGGTCAAACTCGTAAAAACAAATCTAATCTTTATAAACCAACTCTTGAAAACTTTTTAATTATTTACCTCCTTTCTTTTAGGTTATATATCATTGTCCTAACGTTTGCATATCACCTATTGACTTAATCCTTATTTTCCTCCCTATGAGTCCAATACTAGGACGAAACAGCTGTCCAGTGCTCCCTAGTTTTTGATGATTCACTAACTTTTATGAATCCGTGATCAAACCTTAATCCTTATTTTTTGTTTCTGTTCTTGCACGATCCCTAATTTAAGAGCTTCTTTTTGTGGTTGTGTGATGGTGGTGATAATGTGTTGCTCTATGACTGTGATTTTATTTGGATGAGGTCAAGATTAGCCGTGGTGATTCTGACCCTGGACTATCTTCAGGAAGTGTTTGGTGCGTAATTGTTGCTGACAGGAGTTTGATTCGGGATGTTGGAAGTATTCTTCTTCGTTCTCAGGTATTT